GAACATGCAAATGTATCTCTGCCCTGGCCACACAAATGGGAAGCAAATTACTGTCTGACTACATCAGCAGCCTGGCTCCAAACCTCAGTACAAAGTCTGAAACCAAAAGAGCAGAGGCTGTTATGTCCACAGACTGTGTTCAGCAATCACATATGGGTATAATGGTTATGTGTCCATTTACTTTTGGCCACATAGTGTAATTTCCTCTGCATATACTGTATCTGGACACAGGCTCAGCATTACAGTACCATGAAGTCGATGTTGCTGTCTTCGTTGCGGAAAAACTCCATGAGCTTCTCAAAGCGACTTTTCTCTCCACACACCTGAAAAACAACAACAGTTTATATTAGGCAGACCACAGCAGGTTATTAGCATTAATGGTTTGTTAGTTAAATCTAGGTGAAGCCCACAGGGACGTGCTTCTGACGGAGGGATTGATAAACGTGTTGCCATCTCTGTATGTACACACATGGGGGCAGTGTGCGCACATGAAGCTGATGCCAACACAGCCATCTACATTATGTGAACCATGCGGTGTTTAACGACCTGTAAGAAAACACAGCACCGTCCTGAGAGTCACACGGCTGCTTTCTGTGTGGACTCTGCTTGTGGATTAAGTTTCAGGTTCAGCCCAGTTCAGGAACAAACATCAGTTATGGCAGTAATAAAACCAGTGCTTGCACAGCTGCGACAGCCCGTTACAGAAACGATGCTTCAGTGTTTTCCCTGCAGCAGAGTGTGTGTTTGCTTTGGGGAGACACAGCTACATTATACTTGTGTTTTCTTCGTCAACAGCTCAGCAGATTACTGGTCTTGTCCATAAGCAGCGACCCTTCCCAGTTTGCCATCCTGCACCATCTTTTTGCTCACTCATGTCTGCTAAATAACGCAGCACGCCAAAGCGACAGCCTGCACAACCCAAAACAAGGCCCACATTCAGCTCCTCAGGGCCACATAAGCCGGCTCCTGGCTCTGCTCTGTCGCCCTCTCCATCAAGCCCACAGACACGCCAGCGTTGCTGCGGCACCAAAACAAGTGCCACTCACTGTGATACTCGAGTCGCCACAGTGGTTAACTGATGTCGCTCTGGTCAGCCAGGCGAGGCGAGGGCCACCGCCGCCAGACACCTGGGTATGTACACATGAAAGGAAAAGTCTGGTGATGTACTACATTTTCTATTAGGTAAAGATCTGAACCCACACGCCAATATGAACACTTGCCATTACACTGCACCTCCTCCTTGTTGTTTCTAACATCCTATTTCAGGTTCATGCTGCTGCCTGTCTGCGTTGCTGCAGCCACACGAGCCGATCCGTTAGCAACAGCTGCTGCTTCCTCAGGCAGAGATGAGAAGAGGCCGAGCAGAGGTCAAGAGGAGCTCAACAAGTGTTTCCCATATTTATGCCTCTTCAGTCAGTTTGGTCTGTTGGGGGGACGACTGGACAGAGCGGGCGGAGGCCGGAGGAGAACGGACTGGAATGTGGGTGCTGTTACATCGATACCACTTCTATGTTAAGCTTAAGACCAGTTAAAAATAAAACCCGAATGTGGGCTCAGTCAGTCCTGCTGGTGCTTGTAGTCACGGTCATCTCAAAGGCGTAAAGTGGAAACAGTGACCTTGGACAATGGCGACATATACCCTACCTTTAAGATTAGACTTTCCTTTTTCATAAAGCTTATAGTCAGGGCTGGATCAGGTGACCCTGAGCCTTCCCTTAGTTATGCTGCTATAGGCCTACGCTGCTGGGGGGCCCCATGATGCTGTGAGTTTCTTTCCCCTCCCCTCCTGCTCTCCTCTCCTCTCCACCCCTCAGGCAGTCTTCTTGAACAGCTGCTTGAGCTCTGAGCACGTTGGCCTCCTTGGTTACACATAGTTATATTTTTAAAGTAAGGCAGTGCACTGTGCTGTGGGAGTGTGGTCCCACTTTCCTGTGTTTGGCTTTTGACTTTGATTACAGTATGTAAGCCCAGCTCGCTCTGTATTGTCTTAATGTTTCGCGAGTAGCGTGCGGCCGGGTGGAGCTCAAAGGGCTGTGTGACTCCGGAGACCCATTGTACCTCTTTAAAGTTGTCAAAGGCAGAGAGGATGATGTCGTGGCCTCCCCTCACCAAGCATACAGCAGCCAACAGCTCCAGCACCAGCGCCTTGGTCCTGACACGCAACATATTTGGTTAGTCTTGGTTTTTTGAGCATTTTTGTTTTGTATTGATCTATCTATTGGTATCATATGTATCATCAGTGTAACCCAACCAGTTACATCATGACATCACAGGACTGTGTGTGACAAGCTCAGACACTGACCTTGGGTTTCTGTTGTTGAGGCTGAGTGTGATCTCGTTGACACAGCAGGGATGCTTCATCACCAGGTTGAACCCAGACTGACAACATGCACACAAACATCATAAACTGCCAGTCACCATGTGACCATTTTGTTAACCTCCTCAGTTAGTTCAAGCTATGGGAATCGATTTCTGCCTGGAAAAAACTAAATACAGTATAAAATATAAAAATCAAAGCTCTCAAAATTTTGACTTACTTATAGCAAATGTTGACATTTACTCTGTGAAAAACATAAAGGACAACGATTTGACTCTGCATCTCGAACCAAATCAATATAATCAATTTAGATTTGTATCCAACTTTCTTTCTTTCATTCATAAGATTCCATCAATTTTTCTTTTCCTGGCAGAAATGGGCTTCCACACCAGTCTGTCAAATATTACAAAGACATCATAGATCATGATGAAACCAAGATTAAAGAAACTACATGATGGCTGGTTTTAAACACCTGATAGTTCATGATGGCACGTAAGCACATGATGCAGAGGTGGACGTCATCTTTCTGGCCCAGGACACGTGAACCCCTCTGGGCTTTCCTGTTTTGGAGAGAGTTGAATCTGCCCGGTGAGAGATGAAGTGGTTACGGCTTTGTTGTCACTACACACGCACTAAAATGTACACAATATTAAACATTTATCAGGCCCGAGGTACATGCCTTTAAGTACTCAGTCGTGTACTTTGTTATAACTTAAAGACTGAAAAAAAAAAACGAACCCCATTTACATAAAGGGTTAAATACAGCTCTGTATGTGAATGTTGTCTGAGAACCACCTCTTTTGTTCATGCACGAGCGAAATGAGGCACAAATTGGTGCATATGTGAGAGTCTGCTTCTGTACTGATTCAACCTGATTCACATGCAAGCAGCCGTAATCCACGTCATCTGTCGAGGGAGATCGAAAGCGACTTGTGTTAGGGTGATTTTTATTTTATGCACTTAAGAATGGTTTTATTTTATAACACACATAAGTTTACATACTTATATGTCACAGATATGCTTATATAATTATGAATATCACTTTATGAGTTCACTTAACTACTGGTCAAATATCTGCTGTGTGAGTCACAGAAACACTAATGCAACATCATAAGTCTTGTCCACTAAATTACTGAATTTCATTAGATTTATGGCTGAAACTAAGGGAGCTCATAGTTACGTATCGCTCCTCTGGACTGGTGGACCCAAAGGAGTCTTGGTACGGTAAGGCTCCAAGTTTATTAAAATAGATTAGACGTAGATGAGAAAGCTTCAAAGGGAGAACAGTTATGCACACACACACCCAGGTAAAACAGTTTTAATTAAGTGAAAACAAAGGAAGACGTGAGTGTGTATGTAGGAATTAAAGTAGTACAGGTATTCCTCCTTTCTAGGGCGCTGTCCACGATGATTGGAGCAGAGAGGACGGACGGACTGAAGGATCAATAACGGGAGAGTTAAGTCTAAACCACGGCTCCTCCCCAACTGTTTTGGACCTATTAGATAGTAGTACCTTTTCATACAAATATTGTTACACAC